TATATATATATATATATATATATATATATACACACACACATACATACACATACATACACATATATATATATATATATTTAAGTACTTTGCATAATTAAAATAAATGTATATGTGCATATTTGTTGACTACCATTCTCCTCTGTAAGTTTGCAATGGTGGGGACTTTGATGGTATTTGTCATTACTGTATGCTCGGAACCCATTCCAGGTTGGTTACATAGAGGTTCTCAGTACACATTTGTTAGATGTATAAGTACATGAATGAATTAATGAACTACCTCTAGTGAGCAGATTTTAATCTGCTGTGAAATGAAAACTTGGAATACCAAATTATAGTTGCAAGTAAACTAACAGCAAAAAAGCACTGGCTGACAATGTAAGATAAGTATTCTCCCATTGGTTTTCAGATTTTATGTCATCTATCTGCTTAGAGTAGTGGGGACTAAAGAAAGGACCCTAAACTTGACTAGAATGTAGATCTAAATGTTGACTCTGGCTCTGCTCCTGATTCTAAATCCTGGGTATGTTCTTGACCACTTTGTACATAATTTTTCTAATCTACAAAATGGATTTTTAAAAAAGGTTTCTGCCATAGGTTGCATGCTCTTGCCAGAGAGAGACAATGAGAGGAAAAGTGAGAAGTCATTTTCTAGGGGGCTGGCCATACCACAATCTCTTCTCTTACATCTCTTCCTGGAATTTTGCATATGCATGCACACATACATGATGTGGTTTTCAAGCTGACAGATCTGGGACTTGGACTGTAGTCAGCCATAACCACATGTAGTGCCTTAACCACTATGCCACTCGCCGGACCCCCAAAATGGATATATTAATATCTACCTTTTGTGAGACTTAAATAAGATGACCTGTTCTTCCCATCCTCTCTGCCTGGCAGTTTGGTTAGCAGTGCTTTGCTTGCTTTCCCAAGAATTTCACCTGCTCGAAAGCTGCAGAAAAGGAAAGCCTGATTGTCACAGCTCCTGTACTACATTTGAGTATCAGCTAAGAGGTCATCATTACTGGGGAGATAGTACCTGTTTGTGTTTCCTAGGCTCATGGCATAATCTGAAGACAAGAGGAAAGCAAAGTGGAACTT